TCCTACTCTCTTCCCTTTGGATCCTCTTTTTATTAAACCTGGCTGTTTTGATGAAATACAGAAAAGAAATGAAGTTACAAGCAGCCTGTTTCCTTGCTTAAACACGAAGCTCTTGTCGGAAGCCTACAACATAGCCTCGCTGTAATTCTGCTACAGACAAAAAGCTTCCAATTTTCAAACAACCCAAGTCAAATACCAGAATAGAATATATAATACCCCCACCATCTCCTGAGGAATTCAACAACCACAGTATAGATAAACCCAGAATTCCACCATTTAATACTGTAGACACCTTCTTCCCAGATCATGATAGTTCCCATATCCACTGACTCAGAGTATTTCTTTACTATTGTTTAACACCAGAAGGCATGAATGCATTTGCAAAATCTGACTGTAAGGTTTAAAAACCATGTGGCCAGTCTACCAGAAGAAAAATTGGCTGCAATGAAAGATCTAAGCTCAAAACACTCTATTAGATGTGCTGTTCTTCCACTTATGTTTTTTAAAGTAGATCTATAGCTGCCCACATGACAGATTAATATTGTTCCACAGTAGTTAGGTGCTTGGCATTACATTTTTGAAGCATCTACAGGCCTTCAGGGCTGAAAGTGTTCACATCTTCAGCAATCTATAATGGTTCCTCTAGAGGCCAGCACTTGCTTCCTAATGAAACATGCCTCCATAAATCAGACTGCAGAAGTGGCACTCCTGTACGTCACCATCTATCTTAGCAGTTTCTCTGAAGGATGTTGGGTAAAGATCATCTCCCGGCATTGCAACCAAGGAAAGGACCATCACAGTTGGCATTGATAAAGCATGTGCTACTTAAATCTGAAGACACACTAAGTCTATGGAAAAAAACACATCCTGCTGGTGTTAGCATGCCTCAGGCAGTGGTAGAAGCTTCAGCAACTCATCTTCAAAAGGCAGAGAGCCAGGGCTCTAGAAACCTGCAAAAATTGGCTAAGCCTGCAGTCTTCTTTTTTTATTTTTTTATTTTTTTTTTAAGTTGAGCATCTTCAAAGTCTACGATTCTAACTGTAGGGCACAGCAGCTGCCACTGCAGATTTGATCCTCTCAGCTTTTGGCAGCTCTCAACTTGAAATTCTAGCAAAAGAATTTTTCAAGTTGCTATTATTGCCTGTCATGGATTTATAAATATTGTGCACTATCTGCTGTGGCATGGCTCTCATGGGACACCAGTGCATGCCAAAAGCATAACAGAATGAAAAACAGTTCCTATTCTTCAAATAAATGCTAATTTTTTTTAACTGTGCTCACATGATGCGTTTGGTGATCAGCTTCAATAGTACAGAATATATATCAGAGGCAAAAAAGCTGATTGTCTTTTCCAGTAGTATTCAGCTGCTACTTTCATTAAGCTTGTTTAATTACATTCCAGATGCTAATTTGCAAGTCGATACCAGAGGGTGCAGGACAGTTTGCCTTTGAATCATTTTTCTGTGATGTGATGGTCTTGAAGCACGCCACTACCCTCCAGTAGCCCTAGCAAGATATTCTGACAATTGGTGCAAAAGAAAGCAGTATTGATCGTGACAGAAAAATATTAATCCTCTACCCATTTTATTAAATTAATCTCCAGGAATTTTAAGTTTATCACCATTTCCATTTCATAGCAAATTTTATGTAAAATATACATGGTGTACTTCAGATTTAATTTGCTTTACTTTCAATAGAAATACCATTTGTTATTTTGTTACTTTTCTGGAGAGAAAAAAACCCAAACACATCTGACTTAAGCAGTAAATATTTTAAGCTGGCAGCCCTAACAGAATATGAGGTGTTTAAGAGTATGGTTCAGCTATGTCACCTCAACCTTTGCTGGCTTAGTTAATAAGATTACTAGATTTTTATTAGGTAACAGAATACCTGGTAAAACAAAGAAAGGGTTAAGGTGCATGCAAGTCTCAAAGATCTAAATATCTATTTCAACAAATTGGTAGGTTGCATTTCTACATGCTTGTTATAACAGTGAATATCTGCTGCCATTTATGGTTGTATATGAAGACAATTTAATTAGGATGACCTTTCTAAATAGGAAAAGTTGGAGATTTACCAATTTTTGGTGCCTTTTTTGGTTGCTCTTACACAAAGAATGACTTAAAACACAAGCTTGAAAACTAGCTGAGAATACGATGAAATTTTTAGTTTCATAGCACAGCTCTTTGACATTTGCATCTTTGAAAGCGGACTATTACGCTGTCGCTGTTGATTCCAAGGATTTGTAGCCCATGTTTTCAGTATGAATAGCACACGTGCCAAGTGCAGTGTCACACAAGTAGAGGCTGGAAAAAAGAGACTCTACAGCAGCATGAGGGTAGATGGAAAAAAAAAAAAAAAAAGCAGAGTCTACCTCTATCCAGTGGTTCTTTCCATCAATCAAGTGTAACACTACTTACAGAAGAAACTTTAGTGCCTATTAAAAATACTCTAATATTTCTGATCGCATTTATAAATATACTAGAGGCCAGAAGGCCAGTGTCTTCAGATATTGCCCAAGACATTGCAGCAACACAGGAATCCTGATCTTACTGCATTTTCATAATTTTGCACACCTACAATTATTTGATATATACTGACAGAAGAGGAGCCAGTTCCAAGAATAACTGGAAAACTGTTTATTACTAACTCTTAAGCAGTTCAACTCCTGGAAAACTTCTCAAAACAAGTTGTTTTGGTTTTTTTACATCAACTGGTATCACACATCACATCTCTTCAGGAGATGTGACAGGGTACGACACATCACTTGAAATTTTAAACTTAATTGATTTTAGAGAGGAACTCAGTGGACTTACAGGATCATCAGCTGAAAATATACTGCAGTCACACCGACATTTGAAGGGGAGGAGATGACCCACAGCAGTTGCAGTACAAAGATGAGGAACATCTCAAGACCTTTTCTGAAGTAAATAAACTTTTTCCTTCTCCACATTATTCAGTGACAGTAAATAGCTGTGAAGCTTTGTTATAGCTGCATTTTAGGCTGAAATGATTGCAACTGCTAGTGTTACAAGTCATATTTTTCATGGGTTCAATTTTCAACTTTGTGTTCAATTCTCAGTGTTTTCTTTATAGTGAAATGATTAATCAATTGGAATGAGAAGGAGCACTCACGGAAAGCCTGAAGAGATTAGTGTGGTTTAAAAGAGGCATTTTACAAAATATGGCCACAGAGAGCCCTTTCATTGTTTTGGTTTTATTTTCACCAATAGTCTGCCTGCTGATAACGAGATTTTTCATTGTTTAGCTTAGCAGGCACTGAACCTGGTGTAACTAAGTGTAAGGACATACTATAGTTAATAGAAAATTAATGTACTGCATGCATACATTCATAAAAAAATAACTGAATAACTTATTCTGATCTTAATTATGACGCTCCAGCTTTTAGCTCTCCTGAATGATTCTCTATAATGAGCAACCAAACATTTTTCCATTTTTATCAAGATCATCAGCAAAACACAAACAACCCACAAGCTTATAAATCTTCTGATAATCAGCTTTTAAGTAGATATTAAACATAGAAGTGCAGTTGCTAGTTCTGAACATACCCAATCAACCGGAAATCTAATTGGTTTCATAGACTACTTGAGCGGGGTTTTATCGCGTTTACAATCACGCGTTCCCTTTTCAAGACAGAGAGAGGGCAGGACTGACTACTGAGGGAGAGAGCAATATTGACTATGCAAGGACTGTTAAATTCCTGAAGTCAACTATGATCAGTAAGTCGCACGTTTTTAAAGCTTTTGCCTACATTCAAATCACACAAATTATTCCATACACAAATTTGCAAGATGTATTTCTTTGAATTTATCCTACCCATCAACTTTTACAGCTTTGCAAGTAAGCTGACATTAGTACATTTTAAGTACAGGGAAACTAGAGCAGATTTAACTTTTTTAAAGCTTCAAACCTCTTAAATTCTTACGATCGTGAGAATTATCAAGGGAAGAAACACTGAGCTTTAAAAAAAAAAATTTCTTACCTCCATGTCCTGTTTGTATTTATCTTCAAATATGGCCATAGCTGCTAATGACCCAGAACCTATGGTAAGAAAATTAGGACACTTATTTATCCAGTGTATTTAGATACAGTATTTTTTTAAAGAATAAGATAACAAATATCATCAGCACAACCAGACCGAAGTCTATCTTAGCTCACTATACACTCTCAAGTGTCTACCCTCTTTAAGTCCAGCACCTAATTTAATCCTAAATTTATAGCTAGTGTACGCAGACTTGTCATGGCCCCCGCTCTGACAGCCTTTTTCTTTTTACTATTTTGAACACTAAGATATGAAAATGAGGTTAGGAAAAGAGAGTTAACTGAATGCCACAGTTTGCAATTCCTACTCCCCCATCTCTCCTGTCCCACTTTTATGCCTGGCCACATTAGAGGGTATGTCACTTAACACCAAGACGCTCCGAATGAATAGATTGCTTTAACGAGCTGCCCTGGCACAGTCACCTTTACGCATGGGGATGAGTAAACTAGCAATGGTAATAGGGTAGCTGCCTGCTGCCATCAGGTTATTTCCCCTATCTACTTTAAAACAGTTTATTATGCATTTACTTTGTGCCATTATTTTTACATTGAACAATAACAGCTGAATAGACAAAATGACAGATATGAAAACACGAGTTTAACATTACTTCTCTTAAAGGATGCAGTGCAAGCGTAGTAATGGAGCAGAAACCATCTCTACCCAAAGCGCTGTAACTGGTATAAATGTGCTTTCTGTAAATTAACATGAAAAGCAGTATGATACGATTTTAAACTGGAAACTTGCATTGTTCAGAAAGAGTGAGCCTTCAGGAAGATATCTTGTCTGTCTGTGGCTCTCACCATATTTCAGAGCACGCTACTTTTGGGGAGTGAATAAAGTTACCTGCAATTTTTTACTCCAATTAGAAGATTTTTTGGCAGTTATTACTTTTTAACTTGTTTTGCATACTGCTATCTGTTTAGCTGGGTCACAGAGAAAGCCATATTTTCTATTTAAAATGATTTGTGTATATCGCTTGACCACCTCAATGGTTTAGTGAAAGAAAAAGGCAGCGATTAAACAGTTTCAAATGAGGTGTCCTGCTGATTTTATCAAGTCTGCTGAATGTATAATGAAAAAGGAGAAGCTGACAGTGACACTGTTGAGAAAATACAGACTACCTTATCTGACCATTTAAGGAGACCCAATTATAGATCAAATTTAAAGGGTAGAAACAGCAGATTTACAGACACAAATCAATGAACATGGTAATCCCAATGAATATGACAGATACTCCTGTTACAGAATATTGCTGTGGTTGAGGATCATTACCTTTACAGTACCAAATACATCACATCTAAAAGCAGTAGGACACTCTAAGTGTGTACTTGTATTACAGGCAATGACTATTCATTTACACCTTGGAGCAATACATGACTCCATTTTTTAAATGCTGAAACTGGGAATAAAGAAGATTAAGCAACTAATAGCAGAAATGAACCGCTGACAGAACAGAACAGATCACAAATACAAGGAATTTTACTGATCCTTCAAGCAAGGTCAAAATAAGGTGTGCTCCAAAACAAATACAGGACATGAACCATAAAATAATCCTTCTGGTAGAATGACACAGGAACATTTCTAATGAGGGAAGAAAAAAAGAATCTGAGGTAGGGTCTCAAACTAAGACCACAGTCTTACTACACTCAAATGAAGGCCTACCATAAGCAGAATGGAAGCCTCAAAACTAGAAAACAATCTTACCCTTGGATAAGAGTTCTCTGAAAAAATTAAGAGTATAAAGACTAAAAAATGTGCAAGAAGGAAAGTATAAAAAGTAGTATCTGACAGAAATCACTACATTAAAGCTACTGAGCTAAGAAAAAGTAATCTTAATTTCTTAAAACCAATGAATAAAAATTATCAGTAACGCAAATATTGCAATAATCTCATACATGGCTCAGACTGGATTCACTCCTCCAGCTCCTTTAAGTTCCCAAAAGAACCTATAACCTACGGGCTCAGTAGACTTATAAAGAAGAAAAGGGAGAAAGGCAGGGGGGGAGAAGGGGGGAACCTTATATGTTACATGAAATCCTTCATACGTAAAGAACTGTATCGTTAATTATTTATCTCGCTATATTACCAAGATGCAAATACCAAATTTAATGTCAACGTTAAATAAACGCAGACAGTCCTAGAATGTAAGTTTTCAAAGAGTTGTTGAAAGCCTAAACGTATTTAAACCTACAGGCAGACATTTACATCTAAAAACCACAACCCCAAGGAGGTCCTACCAGAACAGGAAGTAAAGCTGGAAAAGCTTAAAAACTGAGGGGTTTTCTCTACTGCTAATAAATCCTAAACGTAAGTTTTATAAGCTTGCATTTTTAAAGAGTGCCTTCACAAAAGCCTCACAGCACAGCTAAGCATTCTCTGAAAGAACAGATTTTTGTAATCTTAAATAGAATTTTCATTGTGTTTTACTCTGACTGGCACCAGATGTAAACACCATGTTTTTAGAAACACAAATAGATGTATACTTCCCAGTTCCTGCATCAAAACAAATCATCTGCTGTTTGACAACAGCAATATGAACTGTTTTGGAAAACACTAATGACGTGCATATATTCACTTGTAGCACATTAACTAAGAAAACCCCCTCAATCCCCTTATTCGCACTGCAGGTGGGCTGAAACCCCATCACCTGAGCGCCCATGCAGACATGCAGCCAGCCAGCAGCGGGCAGTTACTCGCGAGCACAATTGCAAACTTCTCTATCCAGTTACACCGACTTCCCTCTACTTGTCAAATTCCACACATGATCCAAACAACCCCACAATGTTCCAAGGAGTTCAACCGACTTGTGAAAGCTATGCATTGTAACAGGAGAGCTGGCAGTAAAATCCGCAAACTTAGGTAAACATAGGCAATATGGTTTTCTTATTGCAGTACCTATAAAAGCACAGAAAACTTAGATACGAAGGGTCTATGGAGAACTTGTTTGTATGTGGGGAAACAGCTGTTCTCTTGTCCATGTATTCAGTGCCCACCAATAATTCATTTTTAACAAGCGTGCTTTGCCTTTATGTAGAAACAAGCTTAACAATTCCCAAACATAATGTCTGGAGAAAGATAAAATCCAAACATTGCAAAACACCATCCATTAATTAGGGATAGATGTTCCCACCCCATACACACAGTAACTGATTTAAGTCACTACCAGTTAGGATTCAACATCGCTAAGATGCAGCAGTTCAACCTCAAATCTATTAAAACATTAAGGAAAGCTGTGAGATAACGTGTCGTTAACTGAGCCCAGATTCAAGGTAATACCGAACCAGGTATTTACCTTAGATAACTTTAGTTTGAAACCTTAACACACAACCAATGCAGAAACAAGAACTTTGGTTGGATTTTTTTTTTTCTAAATGTTGGACGTTTACAATTGTTCTGTGTATAAGCAATAGCAGTAATTAAAACAAAGAATAATTGGTAACATCATGTATTTGTATTATATAATATTGAGAAAAAAAACCCTTTCAGCTAGATTTTTCAAAACCACTAACTGCTATGAGCGCTTACACATCAACAACCCTGGAAACCCAATCAAGAAAAAAATGCCATATCAATTCCAAAGAATTTCTTTTGCATACATTTTCAGCAAGCTACATTTTAGAAACAAATATTCAGGAAGTATTAACCTAGCATCTAAATATATAAAAGTATTGATTGCCGAACAAATTATAAAGAACTAAAGAAAGTGAGATGCAGAGCTGTATTCTGAGGCAAATGCTTTTCAGTCTGACAGTTAGCATGAGCCAGGGTAGTTATGAGACCCTAAAAGATTTTCTTTTTTTCTTAAGAAACATTGGTCATTTCATAAGTGTTCACAACTAAGTTATTCAAAAATTTTCTGGACTAAACTGTAATAAACTCACTTTAAAAATCCCATTTGGTCTCCACTTGAGGAGTTGTACCACTTCAGTATTGATTTAAAGTGGAAGATAATTATTGATACATAGCAAAAAATCCAGCCGACAATAATTTCCACCGTGTTTGGCAACTGCAGTAGCTTTTCTAAAAGAGATTAACTGGCTTTTTTTAGCAGAACATTCACTGAAGACAACTTCTTACTGCTAAGCACAGTCCATTTTCATCACCCGAGGACCTGTTTGCTACCTCAGCCTGCCGCACTGGAGGATGCACAGAGCCTTGAGAGAGTAACATTTAGCACTTCCTAATCCATCAGTGTCAGGGCTCCCTGACAGGGCATTTATTCACACGCACTCATTGTTATTCAATTTGCTGTTCATCCTAGGTAAAGATTCGGTGATCTCCACAGCCCCATCGATCGGGATCATTTTTCACCCTGGTTCCTGGCTGAGGGGCTGAGTCTCAGCAGTGGTAGTGCTTGCGCTGCAGGACAACATTGCCAATGCATGAAGAGCTGATTTATGAATATGAAGCAACACTGGTACCAGGGGACTAGCTTTAGCCACTAACTGGAACATCCTTACTGTTTCCGAAAGCTGAACTACAGACTTCAAGTGCTTTAATTTTATACATGCATTTCATTATAAGTCTTGGCCAGAAGCTTTCCTAGACAAGCCGAGCAATCAGACAATCTTGCATCGTTTGCTGAAATCCAATTTTGTCCTTTGTCAGCATAAACAGTTTAATTTGATGTTTTCACTCCTGAGTAAGCACTGAGTATCTTTTAAATCTCCCTTGCAAGGGAGGACACCGCTCTGTCCACCTACAAACACACTCCAGCTAAATAAAAACACACTCTGGCACATTAAAACAAACAAAACCCCAACACCTCAACCACCTTTCCTATTTAATACCAAATTTCCAGAAATTAGCTGGCCAAACAATACCTATCCCTAAACTGCTCTTAGAACATTTGGAAAAATAATAAACAATAGATTAGTCTAAGTAAGATCAAAATACAATTCCAACTACTACCTCCGATTTGACCTTCAATAGGTTTCTGCTGTCTCAGTCCTATCTTTCATTTATATGCACATGCAGATCTTTTTACTAAGATACATCTTGGTTGTTGGAGAAAGTATCAGTGTAGCAGGTGTAGAAAGGTAAAGGATATTTGTGCTGAGAAGGGCTTTGTTTGACAGCATGGACAAAAGTAACGCGTAATCACCAGACAGACCTGGTACAGCTGACAGCAAATCAAAGTTTAAGCCACAATGAACTTAATCCATTGATATTCTACTTCCT